GCATAATAAAGAACAGGGTATTTACTTACATTATTTGTAAAAATAATTAAAATAAAAAATTAATAAGTTAAACAAAATCTGCCAGGACAGTTAAATTTTAAGAAAAAAATGGCTGAAATTGCCGAGAAAAATTTACTTATTATTGAAATAATTTCTCCAAAACAACTGTCTGGCGTAATATTTTTGTACAATTATAAAGTTTAGGGAATAATCATTCTAAAAATCTATAATTTAATATTTTTTTCGATTTTTAAAGGTAAAAAAATCTGCCAGGACAGTAGCCTATTACGTTAGAAATTTTGTTGAAATTAGCTCAAAATCAAAATATAAAGTTAAATATCTTCTTCAAAATGAATGTCTGGTAAGCAAATTTTGGTTCATTGGAAAGTTTAGAATATAAGCTTTATGAAAATATAACATTATATGAACTTTTATTTCATTAACACAAAAAAAATCTGCCAGGACAGTAGCCTACTCCGTTAAATTTCTGTATAAATGGCGGAAATTAACATCGCAATTTCTAACTATAAATGAAATAGTTTCTTTATTGCGATTGTCTGGCATAATATTTGGTTACTATTATAAAGTAACAGACCCAATTATAAAATAAAAATAAAGAAATCGAACAATTTTCATTTTTAAAGTAAAAAAAAATCTACCAGTACAGTAACTTATTATGTCTTAACTTGTGGAGGAATTTGTTTCAAATCGAAATAGAAAGTTGAATAGATTATTATCATTTTTGTTATTCGTTGTAAGGGGACGACCATTTGATATTCTGGGGGGGGCCAGGAGGATTTGTTTTGGATCGGTTATTTATTTTTGTAAACTAAGAGGACAGATTATCTATTTTCTGCACTATTGAAGCAAGATTTTTCATTTTCATTAAAGCAAGGGACTGATTATTTATTTTCACAACTATATTTATAATATTCGAAAACATAAAATTTTTAAATTATTTGTTTATTATAAATAATTCATGTATAGTCAAGTCATTATGTACCATTTAATCAGAATTAATTATTATCCTCTGCAGAAATGAATCTTCTATATTCCCCAATGCATATACATGTATTGCATACATACACATTATTAAAGTTTGGTTGTAACTAATGCTCTTTTAAAAGTATTGGCAAACATTTGTCGCCGAGCGGAGCGAGGCAAATTTTTTTTTGAAGGGTTTTTGAACCGCTGAAGGCCCAAGAAGCTATAGAACAAATGATGCAAAATCATGCCTTCTATGTGTTCCCCAGACCCTTTCTTAAACTGAAAATGCAAGTTCTGTTTTAATAATTTTATGACAATATTTTGGTCTCAAAGCAAAATCACGTTATAGATTCAGTGTAAGACTTAAGTTTCTAGGAACAACATCAAAAGACAAATATGCATGATAAAGCAAAAATGTAATTCACATAGTTAAGTCTGTGGCTGCTGTGTTTTTTTAAACTCATGATCAAGTTAATAATAAAATTACTAAATTACAAAATGAATGCAACACTAACAGAATACAGAAGGGCAATCAATGAACAAAAGACAAATTATAAATAAGAAACATTGATCCCGAAAAATCAGGGGCTACGTCTGAGGGAGAACAGAACTTGCTTCTTGCAAGGCACTCACGGTGAAAACAATTTGATATGGAGACAAGCGTTTGGTTTTGAAATTTCCTACATGAGGCATTTGTCTCAATGTAGTTACGGCCCTGATTTAATAAAAGTGAGGTAAGTGTTCCTGAGACAATTAACCTCAAGTTAAATGAAACCAATTTTCTGACATTTCAAGTATATTTAAATAATATTTATACTATTATTATTAAAAGATATGGGAAGTGTTTCCCGATTTTTTTTTTTTGGAAAAAAGATGAATTTATGAAGAATCTGGTGCCATCTCATACTTTCGATTAGACCTGCTGAGTTATTTATTTTCAAAACATTGCAAGTCAGGTAATTTATTTTCAAACTACCACAGAACAAACCATTTATTTTTGTGATTATCAAGGCTGAGTTATTTATTTTCAAAATCCTCCTGGCCCCCCCCAGAATATCAAATGGTCGTCCCCTAAAGTTTGAACAATAAATTTTAGGAAAAGATAAAAAATATTCATTTGATAATAGATTAATACCTCAAAAATCTGCCCAACAGTCGTCCTAAATATAGCTAAATATTTGGTTGTCACGTGCCAAACTTTACGACCAGTAATTGAATCTGTGTATTTGTGTATTCTGTTATGTCAACCGTAAACGAGCGTGTGATAATGAATACCTATGAGAAGATATCTATTGTTTTAAGTTCTAATTATTTATAAACATGATAAAGAATACAGTAGGTACACTTAAACAAATAAATAGGTAGACAAATAAATAAGTAGTAAACTTGCAAGGTTCACATAGTTAGATATTATTTATATATGTATACCCAATAAAATATTTCAAAAAGTGGTGGGATTGCATACCCTGACTCACTGCAACAAAGAATGATATATGCATTATTAGAAAATATTATATACTATCAGATTACTCAATCCATCTTGTATGTGAAAGGATTTGTAAAGGCTTTGCCTTTTGTTCAATCCCTTTGTTTAAATGTATGTTTGATATTTGAACAATAAAATATATTGAATTGAACAAAAAAATAATTTCAAATAGAAAGCTTCCGACATTGTTAATTATGCATAAAACATTCTTTTAAAACAGCTTCCATTAATCCAGGGTTTCCAGAACATATGTTATGCTCCAGTGTACTGTAATCAACAAAAAATGGCTTTCTGAGACAAGTTTTACACCTATACAGGGCCCAGTTGTACAAATTCATCATACAGGGCATTCACACGGGGTCACTTCTCTAACCAAACAATCAAATGAAGTTAATTTATTGGACAGCATGTACAGCACACTAACAACATCTTCAGAAATACCTTTCACAAATATATTCACACGATAAAAACGTCTGTTGGTCAAGATACCAGAAGTTCAAAAACAAACTAATTCCATAGATTGTGGGTTGTTCGCAATTGCAAATGCTGTAGAATTTTGTTTTGCAAGTTTTTCAGGTGGGATACATGTAGAATTTGACACTGAATTTTTAGAGAACATCTTGTGATTTGTTTGGAAAAAGTGAATTTATTCCATTTCCAAAGAAAAAAATAGCATGAAAGGTAAACCGAAATAAAAACTAGTGTGGTGGAATGTAATTGTAAGTGTGGCAAATGTGATTCAGTAGAATACATGTTAGGGTGTGAATGGCAGAAAGGAGTTAAGAAATGCAACATACATTTGAAAACACGTTTCGTGTACGGGGATGAAAGAAGGTGACACAATCCTGTGCTCTAAACACATGACTAATTAGTGAATTAAAACACCTTTTGAAGGATTTGACACCAATCAGTGACTTTGAAGATTTTATTACTGTCAAAACATAATTTACCGGACTTAATTTGTTAAGATTTTACTTCCGATATAAAAAAGAAGATTTTACAGTTTTTAACATTTGTGTTTTTTCTATTGTGTTGTATGATGATTTATATATATGTATGTGTATGAAATGTTTTTGATTAATAAAATATAAGCCTATGCCCTTTCAATGACCTGTCTGCTGCCTTTTATAAACTGAAAAGATATCAAATTAATCAACATAACAAAATAAGTAAATAATGTTTTAATGAACACAACAATAAATTATGTTTTTTAAATATATTTACTTTCCTGATTCTAACACTGATAAAGCTTAAACTGCGAAATTTGAATAAAATTTAAAAAATCATCCTTCTGAAATTATTTTAAATTTGAAACAAATTTCTTCACTAGTTCCAATGTAATAAGGTACTGTCCTGGCAGATTTGTTTTACTTAGAGAAATGATTAAAAAATAAATTTATAGATCTTTTGAATGATTTGGTCCTAATAATATCAAAAAGTATGCCAGACAATGGTAATAAAGATACTACTTTATTTATAATTAGAAAAAATACGTTGATTTCCGCCATTTATACAAACATTTAACATAGTTGGCTACTGTCCTGGCAGATTATTTTTATTTTTACAAATAAAAGTTCATAAAATTTTATATTTTCATAGAGCTGATATTTCAAACTTTCCAATGAACACAAATTTTCTTGCCAGACATGCATTTTGAAGAAAATATTCAAATTTATCCATTGATTTTGTGCGAATTTTAACAAAATTTCTGACGCAAAAGGCTACTGTCCTGGCAGATTTTTTTTGTGTTAATGAAATAAAAGTCCATAAATTTTTTACATTTTCTTAAAGCTTGTATTTTAAACTTTCCAATGAATCAAAATTTGCTTACCAGACATTCATTTTGAAGAAGATATTTAACTTTATATTTTGATTTTGAGCTAATTTCAACAAAATTTCTAACGTAATAGGCTACTGTCCTGGCAGATTTATTTACCTTTAAAAGACGAAATAAATATTGAATTATAGATTTTTGGAATGATTATTCCGTAAACTTTATAACCGCACAAAAATATTATGCCAGATAGTTGTTTTGGAGAAATTATTTCAATTATAAGTAAATTTTTCTCGGCAATTTCAGTCATTTTTTTCTTAAAATTTAACTGTCCTGGCAGATTTTGTTAAACTTATTAATTTTTTATTTTAACTATTTTTACAAATAATGTAAGTAAATACCCTGTTCTTTATTATACAATTTAAATTTTAACAATATGTTGAGTAAAACAAAAGTTACAGATGAAAACGTATCAAAAATAACTGTCCTGGTTTTATCTGTCCTGTTAATAGACCTTCCCCGGATCCGCAGCCATTTTTAAAAGGGGGTTCCTGAAACTGTTACATATGTCCCCATTCAAAAGCATTGGTAGTAAAAAAAGGGGGTTGCGCCTCGTCTGAATATAACTGTTTAGCGCTGACACGACGTCCTAAGCAATAATCAATCAATCAATCAATCAAAATGATGTCAGACGATGTCTTCCTGGTGCTAAGACTTATGATAGAATAATTGGAGTTGCTTCCCTTTTGTTGACAATTTCCCACAAGTCATTGCAGGCCACGTCCGCAGCCGCCATAGAATTTTGGTTTTGAACGTGGTACACGTACCTAGCAGTCAAAATGAATATTTTCAGACTATGTGGGGATATGTCCCATTTGGCTGCAATCATAATTTTGTTATTGAAGATGTGGAAGACTCGTTCTGTTGCTGGTAAGTTCGTGCTTTCTATGAAAAATCGTCTGAAGACCTTGTCAACCGTTACCGGCTTGTCGACTGTTCTGACACTGTTTTCAATGACGTGGTCTTTACCAAAACAAAGTAATAACTCATGGATCATCTACGATTGCAACAGCGAAACAATAAATGTATCTTCCCTGTTGTATCAGTGTGTGATTCAAATAAAAAAAGATTGCAAGGAATATTGTAAATGCATGTTAAAATACGTGGCCAGATGTTTATGATTGATATATTTTTATATCAAATGTACACATATGCATATTGACAGTTTGTACACATATAACCCTGCAGTATTTTGAAACATAAACAATTGTACTCTGACTACATTTTTTTATTTTCAAACAGGTTTGCATATATTCATTTTTTTTCATTCGAAAAACCATCAGCTGGGGGTTGGAACAACTGCCAACATCAGTATCATCAGCAGTGAGATTCTGAGCTGCATAAACTTTGAAGGCATGTTCTGAAATACACCTGGCAACACCAAGATGTACATAATTTTAATTGCAAAAAGCTCAAATCCATAATTTTTATGCCATTATGCCAATTTATGGCCAAATATGGTGGTCCTGTATTTGAAAGTTAATGGTCTCACTACATTTGTAATTAATTTAGCAACAAGAAATTCATATACATGTACTTTTAAAAACAATAATTAAAGCACTAATTTGACAATATGAGACTGCAATTTTATTAAAATATTATACTGGTCGACATGTTTTGCCTACCAGCATGACCAGGCAGGCGTCATATGGACAATTAAGTACATACAGAAATAAAGTACTGAAGAATAAATAAAGCTTAGGCCAGGGAAAAATGGTTGTTGGTTTCTCCTAACCTGACCGGGTCTACTTTAAACTGCCAGGTTGGATTTTTTTTTTGACAACGAAAAAGAAAAAAAACAATGGCCATGCCTTGTTCCGATCCAGCATTGTTAACAAATATTTTTTCGTATGTGTTTCAGCTTTGTTGTTTAAAGCATAACAATGTCAAGGTAATTTTGTTCCCGCCTTGGTTTCTAGATTGCAGAAACTTTTAACAGATCAGAAAGATAACACTGAATTAAATCGTTTCGCTCACCTGATGTTTAGATCCCCAAAATGGCCAACTCGGCACCAAATGCCAGTATTCTATCAAGATTGGATACCGGGTCTACTTTAAACTGCCAGGTTGGTTATTTTTTTTTTGACAACGAAAAAGAAAAAAAACAATGGCCGTGTCTTGTTCCGATCCAGCATTGTTAACAAATATTTTTTCGTATGTGTTTCAGCTTTGTTGTTTAAAGCATAACAATGTCAAGGTAATTCTGTTCCCGCCTTGGTTTCTAGATTGCAGAAACTTTTAACAGATCAGAAAGATAACACTGAATTAAATCGTTTCGCTCACCTGATGTTTAGATCCCCAAAATGGCCAACTCGGCACCAAATGTCAGTATTCTATCAAGATTGGATACATACGGACACCAGTTCTTAATTTTATTAAAGTCACCTAGGTTTATTAATACCAGTTATCAAGTAAATAAATATTTGTTCTACACGCAGTCTATACTATTTAATACACACAAAAAAAACCATAAAAAATCCTACCTGCCGCAGTGTTCTCCCCAGGATTTTTGGATAGTACCAGAGTAACGCGTGTGGACTGCTTGGTGAAATGATTCATACAATCAGTTGTGTCGCGTTGCATCGCTTAGCTATATTTCTAGTAACTGTAGTTTTTATGCCTCCTGTTTTGTTTTAATGCTGTTGTACTGTGTTATGTAGCCATTGAAATTTATTGGTAAAAAAGAAGTAAATCAATAAACAGTTTGACATGTAAACATTAATATTTTTTAAAAATAAATAAAACATGATACATTACAAAACATTCATCTAAATTTAAAGTTATTAAATCTTTTATAAAATCAATGATCAATTAGAATAAAATATCATTCAAAAGAGAAAAAAAATGTTCAATTTAAAAAACTTTCTTATTTCTAGAATGAAAGATGTTGTATTGTGAAAGGATTCCTGTCATAAGGAGATATAAAATTAACAAGAATAAATATTGTATTATTATTTGAACCAGTTTCTATCTTAAATTTTAATAAAAAGAAATTTTTCATAAATTTCAAAACATTTTGCCTTAGATTTCATGTAAATATTAACTTTTCTTGTCTTTAGTGATAATCAAACATAGATACAGACTTAATACTGCACTGAAATCTAAATATTTTTTTGTCATGATCCATTTAAAAAGAATTCCTAAATCTATAAATTTATCCTAGTTCTATAGATCTATAAGTAACCCTATTCAATGTCAACAACTAAGTCTCCCTATTTTCTCGCCTAAATGACAGGAAGTAGATATAAATAGATTTAACATGTGCTTATGGATAAAATTTGCAAATCACTTCTGTTATTCATTAATTATCATATGGATATAGATATCCAGTTTGAAGGTACAGTCATGCATTTTATTTATAAAATAGAATAGATTGCAGTTAATTATAAATAATCTTGGGTATTCTATGTGAACTAACTGGGTCATGTGATCCGTCCCCTTTGAATAACTTGTTGACAGATACTATGATAGTTTGAAACCGGAATATCATGCAATATAAACTATGTCAAAATTAAAGATAATTTGGCCATGGTTTAATCAGAGACATATAATACTATTATATAAGTATTGAGAAGTGTATAATGGTCAATTATACATAATGAGCCAACTTTATAATGTACAAAATGTGTACCGTCGTGTGTACAACTATCGGGTCAACACGGTTTGTGTATATAGTATTTGCCGACTTGTCAGGTGGTGAATGAAGCCATAAAATAGTTATCTACGATCATAAAGTTATGATCTAATTAAAACACAAAAGAATCATTTTACAAGTGTTAATTACATCGATTAAATCCAATCAACAAAGGTTAACCTCATAAAGGTAAATCGATCACGTGGTGTAAACAATCTGAACTGGTTTGAACTGGTCAAATTTCACCTGGAATTTTATACCGCACGGAAAAGATTTAACAAGTCGTTTAAAACTTTACCGATTTTTTGATTTTTTAACTAAAAATTTTAGCACCACAGAGAAATATAATACATTGCGGTAAGAACAATACCACCACGGTAAAAAATTATACATCGCGGGCCCACTGTCCTTTAAGGCCCTGGGGAGAACACTGCTGCCGGGCCTTGAAAATTTTCCAACAAGTTATGGGATTTTATTCATAAATAAGGTTTTTTTTTTCTAGTTGTAGGACAATAACTCAAAAATGCTCTCAGCAGTTTTCATGAAACTTTGGTGACTGTTTATCAGGGCCTAATCTAGGATTTTGAAGAGGGAGAAGTGACTTCTCCTTCCATGAGAGAGAAGGGAGAAGTGGTCAACTTCTTGGAGAAGTGAGATTCCATTACCGTTTTGGTTGCATCATGTTTTCAAGCTTATCACTAGGGAAATTGTTTTATATTCAATAAAAGATGTACTTGCAGTTTTTTCATATGTTATTGTACACAATGTATATATAGAAAGTTCTTAATAAAAAGGTTTAAACAATATATAGTTGTTATTTATTTATTGATACCATAATGTGTTCTAAATAAAATTTGTTGATTGGGACATGAGGGAGTAGCCTAGTAATATTATCAAGATTATGATGCATTAAATTCATGTGCATCTGCCTCAATTTATTTTTATAACTCAAGAAAAATATGATGAATTTCACGACTGGGAGTTTAATTTATATCACTACTTGTCATTGTTTTGTAAAACATTATTGAATGTCCAGGACATTTATGTTAGTTGTAGTAAATTGAGATTATCGTTAAAGATTGTAAGTCTATAAATGAAAATATCTTTCAATCTCAAGTTAATTATCCGATAAAGAGCTAATTTCTATCATTTTTAGCTCACCTGACCTGAAAGGTCAAGTGAGCTTTTCTCATCACTTTGCGTCCGTCGTCCTGCGTCCGTCGTCCGTCGTCCGTAAACTTTTACAAAAATCTTCTCCTCTGAAACTACTGGGCCAAATTTAACCAAACTTGGCCACAATCATCATTGGGGTATCTAGTTTTAAAAATGTGTGGCGTGACCTGGTCAACCAACCAAGATGGCCGCCACGGCTAAAAATAGAACATAGGGGTAAAATGCAGTTTTTAGCTTATAACTCAAAAACCAAAGCATTAAGAGCAAATCTGACATGGGGTAAAATTGTTCATCAGGTCAAGATCTATCTGCCCTGTAATTTTCAGATGAATCGGACAACCCGGTATTGGGTTGCTGCCCCTGAATTGGTAATTTTAAGGAAATTTTGCTGTTTTTGGTTATTATCTTGAATATTATTATAGATAGAGATAAACTGTAAACAGCAATAATGTTCAGCAAAGTAAGATTAACAAATGAGTCAACATGACTGAAATGGTCAGTTGACCCGTTTAGGAGTTATTGCCCTTTATAGTCAATTTTTAACCATTTTTCGTAAATCTTAGTTATCTTTTACAAAAATCTTCTCCTCTGAAACAACTGGGCAAAACTAAACCAAACTTGGCCACAATCATCATTGGGGTATCTAGTTTAAAAAATGTGTGGCGTGACCCGGCCAACCAACCAAGATGGCGGCCACAGCTAAAAATAAAACATAGGGGTAAAATGCAGTTTTTGGCTTATAACTCAAAAACCAAAGCATTTAGAGCAAATCTGACATGAAGTAAAATTGTTTATCAGGTCAAGATCTATCTGCCCTGAAATTTTCAGATGGATCGAACAACCTGTTGTTGGGTTGCTGCCCCTGAATTGGTAATTTTAAGGAAATTTTGCTGTTTTTGGTTATTATCTTGAATATTATTATAGATAGAGATAAACTGTAAACAGCAATAATGTTCAGCAAAGTAAGATTAACAAATAAGTCAACATGACTGAAATGGTCAGTTGACCCCTTTAGGAGTTATTGCCCTTTATAGTCAATTTTTAACAATTTTTCGTAAATCTT